TTTGACCTCGGATACGTGTTTCCAATGAGCTTTCCATTTGTTCATCTTACTTTTCTCCAAGGACTATATGTTCAATACACTCCTACCAAACTCATTAATTACCCCACCAAAACTTTTTCCTTTTCCCATCTTTCTTGATTCCTATGAATGGGATCACCATTTGGAGGGTGCAGGGAGCAGAGTTAGCCACTTTCTCCTCAGCATGCACACAGCACTTCGAACAAACCTCTGTTAAAATATCTATCACAACAGATTCTTAACTGCTTAACTCTTCACTTAGATTTGAAGTTCCATCAAAAAGCTGTGCTAAGACACAGCAGAAACTCAACAAATTTGGGAAAATGGATGAATCCTTTCAATCAACATGATTCAAAATCTTTTTTTTTTTTTGAGACAAAGATTCTCACCTTGTTGCCCAGGCTGGAGAGCAGTGGCAGAATCTTGGCTCACTGCACCCTCTGCCCTCTGGGTTCAAGTGATTCTCCTGCCTCAGCCTCCCAAGTAGCTGGGACTACAGGCATGCACCACCACGACCAGATAGTTTTTGTCTTTTTAGTAGAGACAGGGTTTCACCATGTTGGCCAGGCTGGTCTAGAGCTCTAGACCTCAAGTGATCCACTCACCTCAGCCTCTGAAAGTGCTGGGATTACAGGCACAAGTCACTGCGCCCGGCCTATTCAAAACCTTTGAATCATGCCCAACTCATGGCTCATTCATCAAACTCCAATAACATGTACGAAGTTCTCTCATACCTCTACAAAAGCTCTTGATTCTTCTCATGAACAAGGCCACTATCCTTTCTTCAGATTTAAATGAAACCCCAAACATAAACTACAACTGTCTCCTAACTGGGCAAAAAGTCTCCAGTTTTCCTCTGCCTCCAAGCTACCTCTGCTGCCAGACCAGTCTTTCTAAAATGCTACTCTAACCACATTCTCTTTCTAACCACTCTAGCCTTGGCTTAGACACCTCCAATGGTTTCCCACCATTTCTAGAAAAGTTACAGTTCAAAACCCATAGAAGGTTATCACTGCCTTCCATGTTTGGATCTTTGTTATCTCTCCATCCTTATCTCTTTCTACTCCTATGTTCTAGTCTAAGGGTCGACACACTACAGCTAGTGAACCAAATCCACCCCACTGCCTGTTTTTGTAGTCTTATCAGAACTTGGTCATGTTCATTCATTTATGTATTGTCTATGGCTGCTTTTGTGCTACAATGGAAGAATGGAGTAGTTCCAACAGAGACCTTTTAGCCTGCAAAGCCCAGAATATTTACTATTTAGCCCTATGCAGAAAAAAGTGTGCTGACTCTGTTGTAACAGGACAACTGGCTATTCCCTGAAAATGGCCTGTTTCCCACCTGCATTCCTTGTTTCATGCTGTTCCTCTCTCTTGGAAAAACCTCCTGCTTTTTTCCTAAATTGTATGTATTCTTTAAGACCAGCTCAAATGCCACTTTTTTCACAAGACTTCCCTGATCCCAGGATTAAGGGTGAGCTTCCCTGTGCTCACAGTGCAATATTTGTACCTCTCCTTCACATTTACCACATTGTGTTTGTTGCTATGATTACTGGTGTAAACAATTTCTGCTTCTATGCTATAAATCTACTACCACAACCATCTGCAGCGTCCACAGAGCATAACAGCATTTTGCTCTCTAAATGTTTGTGGAGTTGAAATGAACCCCCCCACAAGCTCAAATATTGGACTGAAATCAACAAGATAAAATTTCATAGGGAGATATTTTTATTTTTTATTTTTTGAGACAGAGTTTTGTTCTTGGTGCCCAGGCTGGAGTGCAGTGGCACATCTTGGCTTATTGCAACCTCCACCTCCTGGGTTCAAGCAATTACCCTGCCTCAGTCTCCGGAGTAGCTGGGATTACAGCCATCTGCCACCACGCCCGGCTAATTTTTTGTATTTTTAATAGAGACAGGGTTTCATTGTGTTGGCCACGCTAGTCTCGAACTCCTGACCTCAGGTGATCCACCCGCCTTGGCCTCCCAAAGTGTTGGGATTACAGGCGTGAGCCACCATGTCCGGCCGGGAGATATTTTTAATAAGGCCTATAGGCAGGTCCCCATTTTCATTTTTGTAAGATCTGACAGGTGCATACATGACAATAATCTAGAGCAGGGTTTCTCAATCCCAGTACTATTGCTATTTTGGGCCAGTTCTTTGTTGTAGGGGGCTGTCCTGTGCACTGTAAAACATTTAACAATGTCTTTAACCTCTACCCACTAGATTCCAGTATCACCTCCACAGTGTGACAACACAAAATGTTTCTAGACATTGCCAAACATCTCCTGAGGGCAAAACTGCCCACAGTTAAGAAGCACTACTCTAGAAATTTCCAACTATAAGCTAACAGTAAGATGTTGCTGATAAAATATAGACTATATAGTAATCATAGTACAGTGTCCATATTGAGATAAGAGCCATACTGTTTTCAATGCTAATTGACTCACACTTATGAGACAGTGCTCAACTGCAGATTTTAAAAGGACTTTGGGGCCAGGCATGGTGGCTCATGCCTGTAATCCCAGCATTTTGGGCGGCCAAGGCAGGTGGGTCTCCTGAGGTCAGGAGTTCGAGATCAGCCTGATCAACATGGAGAAACGCTGTCTCTACTAAAAATACAAAATTAGTTGGGCGTGGTAGCACATGCCTCTAATCCCAGCTACTCAGGAGGCTGAGGCAGAAGAATCGCTTGAACCTGGGAGGCAGAGGTTGCAGTGAGCCAAGATAGTACCATTGCACTCCAGCCCGGGTAACAAGAGCGAAACTCCGTCTCAAAAAAAGAAAAGAAAAAAAAAAGCACTTTGGAAAACTGGAATTCATATAATCAAAGGTGACAAGGCTGATGAGAGACTGGGGAAAATGTCACAGAGGGACATTTAAGTAAATGGAGGTGGTCAGCCTATACAAGAGGAAGAAAAAACCATGATCTTCAAATAGCTGATGGACTGTCCTGTGGGAGGAAGTTTACTCAGGAAGGCAGATCTAGAACCAGTGGGAGGCACCTGCAGAAAGGAAGGTTTTGGTTCTATACAAGTAAAAGCTTTCTAACAATCAGAGCTGGCTAACAAATGTATTGGGCTGAGGTATGAAACACTGTACTCTTGTAATTCTGGATGTCTTCAAGCAGAAACAAGATTAACTGATGTCAGAGATGCCATAGGGAAATTTCTGCATAGGGTAGGCGGTGGGACAAGATGGTCTCTCTAAGGTTAGCAAAAGTAAAGTAATATGCCATCAATAAGCCATATGCAATTTCAAGACCTCAACCACAGCGAAAAAGATATTGCTAAATCATTCACCCTATTTCTGTTTAGTAACATCTTACATTTAGTCCTTGGTACTGTAACTACCAGTGACCTATTTTTTTCTAACTGACCTGTAATAGTTCCTGGATAGGCCAGGCGTGGTGGCTGATGCCTGTAATCCCAGCACTTTGGAAGGCTGAGGCGGGTGGATCACCTGAAGTCAAGAATTCGAGACCAGCCTGGTTAACATGGTGAAACCCCATTTCTACTAAAAATACAAAAAATTAGCTGGGCATCGTGGCACCTGCCTATAATCCCAGCTACTCAGGAGGCTGAGGCAGGAGGACTGCTTGAACCCAGGAGGCAGAGGTTGCAGTGAGCCAAGATCGCGCCGTTGCACTCCAGCTTAGGCAACAAGAGTAAAACTCCGTCTCAAAAAAAAAGTTCCTGGATAATGTATTTCACTACCTTTAAACCAGAACTTTTATTCTGCTAATAATAACCACCAATATAATTTGTAAAATGCTTTGCAGTTTTCAAAGCATCCTGACATGCATCACCTTACTCACATTAGCTAAACATGAAAATGAAAACTTATTTTAGATAACCTGCTCTCATTTACTGCCTCTTGCCTGAATTTCCCTTTTTTTTTTTTTTTTTCCCAAGACTGAGTCTCTCTCTGTCATCCAGGCTGGAGTACAGTGGCGCGATCCTGGCTCACTGCAACCTCCACCTCCCGGATTCAAGTAATTTCCCTGCCTCAGCTTCCCAAATAGCTGGGATTACAGGCACCCACCACCATGTCTGGCTAATTTTTCTATTTTTAGAATAGACGGGGTTTTACCATGTTGGCCAGGGTGGTCTTGACCTCAGGTGATCCATCCACCTGCCTCAGCCTCCCAGTGCTGGGATTACAGAAAGTGTTGGGATTACAGGCATGAGCCACTGTGCCCAGCCTGAATTTCTTTCTTTCTTTTCTTTTCTTTTTTTTTTTTTTAGATGGAGTCTCACTCTATCGCCCAGGCTGGAGTACAGTGGCATGATCTCGGCTCACTGCAACCTCTGCCTCCCGGGTCCAAGTGATTCTCCTACCTCAGCCTCCTGAGTAACTGCAATTACAGCCATGCACCACCACGCCTGGCTAATTTTTATATTTTAGCAGAGACGGGGTTTCACCATGTTGGCCAGGCTGCTCTTGAACTCCTGACCTCAAGTGATCCACCTGCCTCAGCCTCCCAAAGTGCTGGGATTACAGGCATGTGCCACGTGAAATAAAAGTTCATTAAACATTCACTAAGATAATAAAACATATTCCAGCAGATACTCATCTCCAAAACAAATCATTTAAACACAACCCGGAGATAAGCCAAATATAGTTATTTCTTTATCAAATAAGCCAACTCTAGTTATTTCCCTGTTAGATAAGCTAAATAGTCATTTTAGCACCAGAAACGTGGGCCTACTTAAGTAAAATTTCTGTTTTATTTATGATTTGGGGAAGGAAATTCAAGAAATTACAATTTCATATTCCCAAATTTCAACATGGCTATACAACCCAAAAGTTCCAGAAGCAATCACAACAAAACCTGAAGCATATGTGTTGCTGATAAGCAAAACTACTGTAAGTCCTAACCCCATGGACTCCTTCACTCCCCAGCTAAAATTTGCACCAAGAATTTTGTAAGGACTTGCCCCAAAACCAAACTAGGCCCTCACTGACTGCTTTACTTACTTCTTTACGTTTTGTTTCCGGACATTCCGACTGCAGAGTGAGGGTTGCACCTTCGATATTTCTTGGCATGGGTGTGGAACCAGGGTTTATTGTCAAATGAATCTGATCTGGTGAGATAATGTGCTGTACATAACCCTGGGACATTGCTTCATGATCTATCAGGTGAAAGCCCTCTTCACCCCCTACTAGAAAAGGCAAGTGTTCTCCACACTGTCCGTCATCATCTTCATCCTCCAAAGTGCCAGGGTCCTGCTCAATAAGAACAGTGGTCCTATCATAAACAGTTCCAGATGAGGAAGGCACCAGTCCGTTTTTATCCACAAACCTGAGCATTTTATCATCAGGGGTCAGCTCATCTTCCTCTGCCTCAAAGTAGATGATGTTGTCGTCTGGACTGTGTTCCCCCATGGTTCAGTTGTGCTCAGCCCAATTGTGAGAAATGAAAACGTAATGACTTGTCTGCAACAGAACAAAGCCAGAGTTAAGAGTCATACCACAAGACCCACGCAGCTCCTCAGCAACCACAAGGTTCATTTTCCCTCTCATTTAAAGAGCAAGCTAAAGCAAATGAAAAACCATCCTTGGAAATAATTTTTTTTTTATTTTAACTTTAAAACCATCAAGTCATTTTTTTTTTTTTTTTTTTGAGACAGACTCTCGTTCTGTTGCCCAGGCTGGAGTGCAGTGGCGCGATCTCGGCTCACTGCAAGCTCTGCCTCCCGGGTTCACGCCATTCTCCTGCCTCAGCCTCCCAAGTAGCTGGGACTACAGGTGCCCGCCATTACGCCTCGCTAATTTTTTGTATTTTTAGTAGAGACTGGGTTTCACCGTGGTCTTGATCTCCTGACCTCGTGATCCGCCCACCTCGGCCTCCCAAAGAGCTGGAATTACAGGCGTGAGCCACCGCGCCCGGCCCATCAAGTCATTTTTAAAGAAAAGCAATGCTGGCCGGGCGTGGTGGCTCACGCCTGTAATCCCAGCACTTTGGGAGGCTGAGATGGGAGGATCGCTTGAGGCCAGGAGTTTGAGATCAGCCTGGTCAACATAGTGAGACCTCCATCTCTACAAGAAAGGAAAAGAAAAGAAAAGAGCTTTTCAAAAATTGAAGTAATAAGTTCATAAGACCCTCTGAATACGCCTGTCAAACAATTTGAAACTTGGTCAAAATATTTAAAGGGGACAAAAGAGCAAACAGAACAGTAGCTGCTTAAAGGCTGAGTTGCTACAAATCTTAAGAGAAACTCCACTCAAATGCCCTCCAAATCAGACCACGAAGCAGTAAATGGTTTCATGTAGTTTATGGTAGAAGGAGCAAGGCTTTGGAGGCAGAGTCATCTACCTACAAATCCTGGCTTTGCCTTTTACTACATGGGTAACTTTTCTGTGCCTCATTTTTCTTATGTGCAAGGTGGGACTAGTAATTCCTGTTCTCTCAAAGTTTTTATAAGGAATAAAAGAGGCAACATATGTAAAGCACAATGTTTGGTAAATAGTAGAGGAACAAGTGTGAATTTCTTCCCTCCTACCTAGAACAGATGTTTCAACCTTCTGGGTTGAAGGGCTAATCCCCAGTCAGGCACAAACAATGAAGATCACTGTATCTATTTATGTCCAATATGGTGTTAACAAGAAGTTATGGTTGTATAGTGGGCTCTCGTCCCTGAATGAATTGAGTCTTATTATTTTTGTTTCTACAGCCCCTAGCATAGTACACTGACACAAATGTCAGCTAAATGAATGAAAGACATGGCGACATACTCTCTCGTGAAGATATACTATCTTGGGAAGATACATTCTCTTGAGAAAAATACCACATTTGAAGCTTTCATGTTCTGGAATAGTGATTCTTCCTTCATCTGCAAACACAGGCTCTACAAATGTGGGTCTGGCAGGCAGAACAGAAAATTTTAAAATAATCAGCACATCCCTTTTAGTTTTCAGTCTGGCTTTGCATTTTATCTTTCTCTTCTGCTCTGGGTTAGAAAGTGAGCCTTTACTTAGTGGGGTGGCTAGACAGTTACCAGAAACAGGCCAAAGAATCGGATCCGGGAGGTACCGGCCCGACCCCTAGTTCTGGCTTACGCAACCCCACAGATGTACATTTCGCTGCATCTGAGAAGAGAGAAGAGAGCACCGAGGACCCCAGTGGGCTGCCCGGGCACCCTCGGCGGCAACGCGGAGACCAACTGTCCGGAACAAACAAGACCAGGAGGTTTGAAGGTAGCCAACGAGGAGTGCGAACGGAGCCCCCTTGAGAGAAGGCTGGGAAAAGGAGCCTGTCTGGGATAGCCCCCAGCACAGCGCTACACAGAAAAACCCGAAGACAAGCTGGGGGTCTCCAAGCACCGAGGAGAGGGGCAGGGTCCGGGTCTCCATGGAAACAGGAAAGGGGGGCTGGATACCCATCCCCATGGAAACGGAGAAGGGGTGGGGTCCCTATGGTGACCAGACTGAGGTCTCTATTGGGAAATGCTTCAGGAGGGAGCCTAAGTCCCGCGCCCCCCGGTAAGTCCCAAGCCCAGGCCAAGTCTAGTTTCGCCTTTTACCTCCGCGGCTCCCGGCAACGGCGGCAGCAGCAGCTTCTCCCCTCCCCAGCGGCACCATGATTGCCCCCACCTTCCCCTAACGTCACTTCCGCTTCCGCTTTCCGGAGGAAGGAGGGGACAGCGGATCCGCCCCTCCCTGGCGCCTCTGGTTGGCTCAGGTTGTCAGGGGGCTGAGCTGCAGCCTCCAATTGGCGAGCGGGAGGGGCGGGGCGGGGCACCGAGGGGAAGGCGCCCAGAAGGTGAGTTTATTCGCGTGGGGAAGCGCCCGGGGTGTCACGGGCGGCCCGCAGGGTGTCGCCCTCGCGGCACTGGAATCAAGGAGAAGGGAACGAATCCCCAAGGAAGGATCCGAAATGTCCTCAGCCAGGTTTGCGCTGCCCGCCCTCGCCCTGGCAGCCACAGCAGCAGCGGGAAGGACCACAGTTGGCAGTCGGAACCCTGGCTCCAACCCGCCAGGGGAGCCTGGACGACCGCGACGTGCCCAGGTTTCTCCCGCCGGGGCCTCGGCCTTCCCTTCAGCACCCATCAAAGTTAACACAGACGGGAGGCCCAGAAAGGAAGACAAGACCCCAAAGGCAGAACTAAGAGTATTCTGAGCCCAGCTAGAGAGGACGCCACCGCCTCTTCCCTTCTCACGCGCTTGCCTAGGACGCCCAGCTGTCTTCTCACACTCTGGCCCAGGCTGGCGGTCCCAACTTTCTTCCCCTGCAAGAGGACGCAGCTTCGGCGGGACTCATGCCCGGGCCAGTTAGCGCCACCTACCGGCCACTCCCTTCTTTAACCTTTCACATTGTTCTGCTGGCCCGTGTCTTAAACCCATTTTACAGTGCCCAGTAGTGGGCATTCGTACCCAGGAAGCGATTCTGCATGTGCCTTCGTTATGCCCCTGTCCTTTCCAAATGCCTGGAGGATCTAGCTGTTAGATCCTCCCAGCTGCCACTGCCTGTTTTAACCATAAGCTGCTTCTCTCGAATATTCAGAGTGGGACAACTCCAAAGACTAGACCAGGGGTCAAGGGGTTCAGGCCAGTGCCATAACCATTTCTTGCTGGAAATATGTGAATAGTGACCGGTACCCACCAGACTGCCAGGAATATATCTCTTTGGCCCCAAGGCTTGAGCCACAAAGTCCAGCTGCAGCGAACTGCCGTCTCTTAAGAGAGAAAAACATATACAACCACCACTGTTAAAAATACATTTATCATTAAAATATATTACACACGGAGACGGGAAGCATTATATACAGTTTGGAAGACTTGCTGACCCAGAAAATCCCACTTGTTTCACCGAACACTCATTTTTTCAGTGATTTTACATTTTTAGAGACGGGGTCTCCCTCTCTCACCCAGGCTGGCGTACAGTGATGTGTTCATAGCTCACTGCAGCCTCAAGCTCCTATGCTCAAGTGAGCCACCCCACGTCAGCCTCCCAAGTAACGGACCACAGGTATGCATCACCACACCCAGCTAATTTTTTAAAAATGTTTTTGTAGAGATGGGGTCTCCCTGTGTTGCCCAGGCTGGTCCCAAACTCCTGGTCTCAAGTGATCCTCCCACCTTAGTCTCCCAAAGTGCTGAGATTACAGGCGTGAGCCACTGTGCCTGGTCATTTTAATTTTTTAAATGCCTGTATTGCCCTCAGAGGCTGAGCAACCAGCTTTAGAGTTATCGAGCCATTATCTGGGCAGGAACGGGGGTAGAGTTTGCATATGCATATACACGTCCTCAGAGCACTGAAAGCATCTGGGGTGGCTGTGGCCTGTTTCACCCAGCAGCTTCTGCCTGCATTCTTGCCATCCAACTCATTGGCCTTTCATGACTTTCCATCAAATATCTGCTCATAGGGATCTCAGCCCAGGCTATAGGGAAGGCACTGACTATGCCCTGGAGGTAGGGTGAGTGAGTACAACAAATACAGTTATTTAAAAACATTTTAGGCCAGGCGTGGTGGTTCACACCTGAAATCCCAGCACTTTGGGAGGCCTGGATCACCTGAGGCCAGGCATTCGAGACCAGCCTGGCCAACATGGTGAAACCCTATCTCTACTAAAAATACAAAAAAATTAGCCAGGCGTGGTGGCAGACGCCTATAATCCCAGCTACTCGAGAGGCAGAGGTTCAGTGAACCAAGACCACGCCAATGCACTCCAGGCTGGGCAACAAAAGTGAAACTCCATCTCAAAAAAAAGATCAATCTGTGTTAAATAACTAAAGTTGAAAATTGAATGTCAGTTTTATTATGGTGGATTTTCTCCCGTGTCTTCACGACTCACAGCACTGAGTGTGCTAACCAATGGTGAGCTTAGTCAGGGTACTAGGCTCAGGAAATAGCTGCCATTCTTGCTACCAAGTGGCCTCACATAATTATCTTAAGGGAGCTCTTGAGCTGAAACAGGTGGGGCTGGTAATTGGCAGCCTCAAGTAAAATAGGAGGAGAGATATAGAGGCTCAGAGTGGGTTGCAGAGGAACTGGTGAATAAATTCTTGAGCCTTTTTCTTCTCTGTCATATCAAGCTTTTGGTGACCAGCTGGGTTTCGAAGCAATAAGCTGCCAAATATGCTAGCTGCAAGAAAAAACACAGAAAAGAAATGATTCAGCAAAAGAAGGTACTAAAGACACACATCACTTAACAACAGGGATATGTTCTGAGAAATGTGTCATTAAGTGATTTCGTCATTGTGCAAACATCATAGAGTGTACTTAAACTTTCACAAACTTACACTTGTACTTACACAATTCTATATGGTATAGTCTATTGCTCCTAGGCTTCTGTACAGCATGTTACTATACTGAATACTACAGGCAGTTGTAACACAGTGCTAAGTATGTGTATATCCAAATATATCTAAACATAGGAAAGGCACATCAAAAATACGGTATTATGAGCCGGGCATGGTGGCTCACACCTGTCATCCCAGCACTTTGGGAAGCCAAAGCAGGCAGATCACTAGAGGCCACGAGTTCAAGACCAAGCTAGGCCAACATGATGAAACCCCATCTCTACTAAAAATACAAAAATTAGCCTGTCCTGCCAGTGGGCTTTCCAATGGGAATGGTGCTGTGTCAGAGGTGGCTGAGGCTGGGAGGTTGTAGGGGAGACGGCCCTGCTTGGTGTCCTGCCTCTCTGGTTCCCGCCTCCTCCCCCCACCACCCCCTGTCCCCAGTGGGGGCTCGTCCCCAGGCTGAGACAAGGTTCCATGAGCGTGGTAGGGATGGCTGAGGTGTGGGCATTGGAGGGTGTGGCCCTGTGGCCCCTGTCCAAGCGGTGGCTGTGAGGGCCGGGGTGGCCATCTGGCTCCCAGCCCTCTCCCATCCCGCAGCAGGGAGGGTGGGCACGTTGGGCTGGTCACTGCCCTTAAAAAAAAAAAAAAAAAAGGGCCGGGCGCGGAGGCTCAGCCCTCTAATCCCAGCACTTTGGGAGGCCGAGGCAGGCGGAATCATGAGGTCAAGAGATTGAGACCATCCTGGCCAACATGGTGAAACCCTGTCTCTACTAAAAATACAAAAATTAGCTGGGTGTGCTGGTGCACGCCTGTAGTCCCAGCTACTTGTAAGGCTGAGGCAGGAGAATTGCTTGAACCCAGGAGGTGGAGGTTGCAGTGAGCTGAGATCACGCCACTGCGCTCCAGCCTGGCGACAGAGCGAGACTCCGTCTCTAAAAAAATTAATTAATTAATTAAATTTAATTAAAAAGCTAGGCATAGTGGCAAGCGCCTATAATCCCAGCTACTCAGGAGGCCAAGGCAGAAGGATCACTTGAACCCAGGAGGTGGAGGTTGCAGTGAGCTGAGATCACACCACTGCACTCCAGCCTGGCTGACAGAGTGAGACTTTCTTAAGCACACACACACACACGCATACACAAACACACACACAAAACCACAGTATTATAATCTTATTGGCCCTCCATCGTATATGTGGTCCTTTGTTGACCAAGATGATATATGGTACATGACTATATTTTTTTTGGGGGGCGGGGGGATGGAGTCTCAGTCTGTTGCCCAGGCTGGAGTGCAGTGGCATCTCGGGTCACTGCAGCCTCCGCCTCCCGGTTTCAAGCAATTCTCCCAACTCAGCCTCCCGTTTAGCTGGGATTACAGGCATGCGCCACCACACCCAGATAATTTTTTTATTTTTAGTACAGGTGGGGTTTCACCATGTTGGCCAGGCTGGTCTCAAACTCCTGACCTCAGGTGATCCGCCCACCTCAGCCTCACAAAGTGCTCGGATTACAGGTGTGAGCCACCACACCCAGCCCATGACTATACTTATTCTTGTGTTGTTAGGAGTAGGGAGGAGTGTCCAAATGCAAAACTTTCTGCTTTAAAAAATCTTTGCCCAGAGCTTGCCATTTTAGTTCTACTGCAAGGGACCTGGGATCCTCCTCAACCTCATTTCTCATTACGAGTCTCTCAGTTTGCAGAAATGCTTTCCATAGACATTTGGCTGCTTACCTAGAATATTCTCATCCAAATGATTTTTTGCTGAATTTTTCAGCAGTTCTTGTAAAAACGCCATCAAGTAGTGGAAGACATTTCTGTAGAATGTGGGGAGAGTAGAAATGACCTGAAAGAGAAAGAACTGGCATTTGTCTTTTGTTCACTGAATTATTTGTCAAGTGGCTACTATAGTCCAAGAACTGTGTACACGATCCAAGTGCACGAGAAAGACTGTGCACAGAAAACTGGTTGCTTACTACTTGGCATAAGTACCAAAAGAGAGGTAGGGGTCAAATGCAACATGAATTTAGAAGTCAAACTTTTAACTACATGTTCCTGTAAGACTGAAGGAAATAAGACATTTTAGTTGGGTCTTGAATATAAGACAAAATTGGACTTACAGAGATAAGAACTGGGGTTATTTAGAGCAAAGAAAGTATAAAAAAGGGCAGGAGAAGGGAAATAGTGAGATAAGTAGAGAGAACACTTTATGAGAAGTCAATTTTGGCAGGAGCATAACTAGA